TCCTTCAGGTCCGCAGTTCCGGGGGGGGTTCCCCTGAATTTTTTTGGGGGGGGGTCCCCTAAATTTTTTTGGTGGTTCCACCACATTTTTTAGGGTTTGTCCATTTTTTTTTTTAGGGTTTTCCCCATTTTTGGGGATTTTCTCCCACATTTTTTGGGGTGATTTCCATTTTTGGGGGGGGTCCCCCCATTTTTTGGGGTTTTCCATCCCATCCAACACCGATTTAGGGTGGGGGGTCCCCAATTTTTTGGGGGTTTCCTTCAGGTCCGCAGTTCCGGGGGGGTTCCCCTGAATTTTTGGGGGGGGGTCCCCTAAATTTTTTTGGTGGTTCCACCACATTTTTTAGGGTTTGTCCTTTTTTTTTTTTAGGGTTTTCCCCATTTTTGGGGATTTTCTCCCACATTTTTTGGGGTGATTTCCCTTTTTTTTTGGGGGGGGGTTTCCCCCAATTTTTTGGGGATTTTCCTCCACATTTTTCGGGGTTTCCCCCAATTATTTTTGGGGTTTTCCTCCACATTTTTTCACCCTTTTCCCCTACATTTTTTAGGGTTCCCCTCCTATTTTTTAAGGTTTCCTCCATAATTTTTCACACCATTTCCCCCACATTTTTTAGGAATTTCCTCCCATTTTTTTGGGATTTTCTCCCCATTTTTTTGGGATTTTCTCCCAATTTTTTTTGGGGGCGTTTTCCCCACATTTCTCAGAATCTCCTCCACATTTTTTTAACATTTTCCCCACATTTTTTAGGGTTTTTCCCCACATTTTTGGGGTTTTCCCCACTCAGTTTTTGGGGATTTTCTTCCACATTTTTTAGGACTTTCCCTCCCAGTTTTTGGCGATTTCCCCTCCACATTTTGGGGGGATTTCCCTCCAAATTTTTCAGGAGATTCCCCCACATTTTTCAAGACTCTCCTCCCCATTTTTTAGGAGTTTCCCCCCTTTTTTTTCCAGCTTCCCCCCCCTGATTTTTTTGGAGTTCCCCCCCATTTTTTGGGGGGATTTTCCTCCACTTTTTTTTTGAAGTTTCACCCCATTTTTTAGGAGTTTCCTCCCCACTTCTTAAGGATTTTCTTCCACATTTTTTAGGAGTCTCCCCCAATTTTTTAGGAGTCTCCCCCAATTTTTTAGGAGTCTCCCCCCCCATTTTTTAGGAGTCTCCCCCCTATTTTTTAAGAGTCTCCTCCAATTTTTTAGGAGTCTCCCCCCCCATTTTTCAGGAGTCTCCCCCAATTTTTTAGGAGTCTCCCCCCCCATTTTTTAGGAGTCTCCCCCCTATTTTTTAAGAGTCTCCTCCAATTTTTTAGGAGTCTCCCCCCCCATTTTTTAGGAGTCTCCCCCCTATTTTTTAAGAGTCTCCTCCAATTTTTTAGGAGTCTCCCCCCCCATTTTTTAGGAGTCTCCCTCCCATTTTTTAGGAGTCTCCCCCCCATTTTTTAGGGGTTCCCCCCCCATTTTTGGGGATTTCCCCCCTCCTTCCCATCAGTTTTCCCACACATTTTTCCAGGAGTTTCCCCCACATTTTTGGGAGATTTCCCCCCATTTCCTCACCGCCTCTCCCCCCACTTCCTCCAGAGCCTCCCCCACATTTTCCCCCCTTATTTTTTATTTTTTTTCCCCCTCCTCTCTCCCCCAAAATCTTTTCCCGGCTGGATTCCCCCTGGAGTGGGGACGGACGGGCGGG